TGTACATTTATAGTCATGGAGATTCTCTATGTAAACTTTTCTTGTTATTTATTTTGAAGAGTATATCATTGATTTAGAAGATACTTTTGGAGATGGTGATTGTTATTGTTAATCAATAAACAGATGACATCTAAACCTGCTGTCCTGTTGTAAAGATCATTTCAAACTAACACTAACTTGATATTAATATTTAAACGTGATTCAAGCTTCACCAACAGTATTTGTGTTTATGAATGTTAGTAGTTAACATAAAGTGTGCTAGTATAACCATTTCTAAATGCTAGAAGTCTGAAGCTACCTATCCAGTGGAAAAACATACTTTCATCAGCCACTAGACAAAATCTTTGTGATCCATGTGTCTGCCAAGTTAGACTTAGTCAGTTAGCATCAGATTTTGTTCTAATAGATACAAATATATTTGCATAAATACAAACTAAAAATCTTAAAAAACAGGAAAATTAAAATATAATGTACGGTATTGTTATTAATTAGGTGACTTACCACATTTAGAAGTACCGGTACTGATAAGTTTTGTTTGTGGTACATTATATCATTTCTAATGTTTACTTTCAATATTATTATTTTACGTAATTGTGACACTCCATTGGAACTAGATGGTTATGTTCATTCTTAGTGCATCCCTCCAATAAAGGTGAGAATCTGTGCACTAGTTATTTTGGACTGTTGTCATTCACATGTCATCTCCACTGTCCAGCTCCTTGCAGGTGTTGGGAAAAAAACAAAATTACAATGACCAAAACAGTTTAGAGTTAGCTGTGTTGCAGATTGCCAGAAAATAGCACTTTGTACAACAAACTACCTAAGAGTTACCTGCCCCTGATTTTTCCTCTGGTTGACTCCTGAAGTTTTTGTTTGGGTTTGGATGCGTTCAAGCCATGGATTCAATAATAATCATAATCTTTATTATCCATAAGGAAATTTGTGCATTACACCAAACAAAACATTATAACTATAGAAAAAACAAAATATATTGTAGAAAAAATGCTTTACATGTTTTGAATATTCTTTCAGAGTTGAAGATAGTCTACTTCCTAGACCAATCCTCCCGCAGGACGACTGGGAATGGGAGCGGGCAGGGTTTGAAACCGGGACCATCGATAAATCCAAACGACAGTCCAGCGTGCAAACCGCATGACCAGGCAGCCATCAATATTCACACCAGACTCACTCATAATATACATGCGAAAAGTTTATATCAGTTTCTATTGAATGATTTGATTGCCAGGGGAACAAAAGAGTTTTTGTGTCTGTCTTTGGTATTTGTGTCTTGTATCTCTTTTGTGATGGTAAAATCACAAAATCCTGACCCAAAATGATTTTTTATTTTTAGAATCTTTTTAGCTTTTTTATGAGTGTTTTTCTCAAACAGCTCAATGGGTTTTTTTTTTTTTTTTGCCAATGATTTTACCAGCAGCTTTTAGGATTCTATGAAGTTTATTTTTATTTTTAATGTTCAGATTGCCATACCAGGCAGCGGTATTAAAACTTAAAATAGTGCAGATGTGAGCGTGCCAAGGCCTTTTCGCTAACATTAAATGAGGACATTTTTTCTAAGTAATCATAATCTTTGCTGCCCTTTTTTACTGATATAATCAGTATTTGCAGTAAAATTTAATGTCTAAGATAGTACCAAGGTATTTAAAAGTTTGCACTATTTCAATGGTCTCTACAGCTACAGAAACAATATCATTTTCCCTATGAAAATAAATTATTTCTTTTTTTTTTTACATTTAACAAAAAAAAATTATCTTTACATTATTTTTTCAATGTGTTCTATTTCTCTGAAATACTCATTTATGTCTGAGCTCTCTGAGAGCAGGGTAAGAAGAGCCCTATCATCAGCCAATTTTGTGAAGGAGCAAAAACGACTAATGGATTAAAAATTTTGAGTTTTATTTTCTAGGTAGTTGGGCTAGATAATGAGCTTTGTTTTTAACCAAACACATATCAAGGGCTAGATAATGAGCTTTGTTTTTAACCAAACACATATCAAGACACTTCATCTGTCTGGCCAAAATCTATTACATGTCAAATCTACCACTTTCCATTCTCAGATCAAGTTGAAACTTTGCTAAATTATTCATTGTCTATGAAACAAATGATTTATTCTTTTTTGAACAACAGACCTATGAGATATAGCAAGTACGTTGGTTACATTTTGACTCATCACATGATAGATTCAAAATAATCTATGCAATTTTAGGTTTTTAAAAAGATTACTTTTTTTATGTTAAACTTGTTCAGCAACATGGGTTTCAGGTTCAAATCCTGGTGAAGATTGGGATTTTTAGAATGTCCCTTGATTCCACCAGACTGAAATGGGTACCTGACTTTGGTTGCGAAAAGTAAAGGCGGTTGTTGTGCTGGCCACAACACCCTTGTTAATTGTCTGTCACAGAAACTAATTACCTTTACATCATCTGCCATATAGATTGCAAGGTATGAAAGGGTGTTATTTTTTTCTTCCCGTCAAAGAGTTTGATCCTGAGTGAACATTTTCCCTTTACCAGGGTGGCAAATATTTATAATGATGTAGGTGATTGCGACAAATGGACAAAATGTGTGGAAATGTTTTTCCTATTCTCATAGACTTTTTCCCAACCAAAGAGACATAAGTTTCTGTTTGTTAGTGATGTGCCTTGTGTTTATAATTCCAATACTCTAACATTTTCTCCATTGTAGTTGAAATAGCACAATAATCTTAATTTCTAAATATTTGCATTGTACTCATTTAAAGGACATAAGTATTACTTTTATTTAAACTATTTAGAAAACAAACAATTGATTGGATGGCAAAATCATGGTTTTATTTTTTTTTTAATATCTTGTTCAACCAATTTACAAATTAAAAAAATGAACATTTTCATCTATGTACAAGGAAAAAAAAAAAAGTAATTTGATAAGAGAATGTTACTGATACAGTGTGTAGCCTTTGGAAAGAACACTTTCACTCACAGATTCTAATCCAAGTTAGAGAAACCACACACTAAAAGACAAAAGGATGGGCAGGGAACCAAAAGTATTGTATCTAGTTCTATTTTCACCCCCCTTCAACTGGCTGACTTTAACATCAAATTGTTAAAAAAACACACCATTTTTCATGAAGAACACAGAGATGGCATGACAGGTTTTATGTCCTAATGTGAACTTAGGAAGGTTTTACAACTTAGCTATTTACAAAACTTGAACAGGCATGACATGATGACTTCAATTAGGAAAGGGCACATTTCTACTCCAAGTCAATTAGGACTTAACATGATCTACTGTTGAATTTTCTACAGGTGACATAGGGTGTGGATCATTTGGTTTTCTTCAGTACATTGTATTGTGTATTGATAAGTTTCTTACAAAAATAGCATGACTCATCTCTTAATCAATAATAATTAATGCTTCAAAACTTGGATCAATAAAAACAATCTATATATATCTATATATATCTGTACAGATTAGACAAAGATCTCATAGTTTGGACTACATCACACAATGTAATACATGTTAGTATTCTCAATAACAAGGTCACATGAACACTTACAGAAGGGCACATTATCACTGGGAAGTGGGGCGGGTGGAAGGTGTCTATATTATAAATACACAAGAAACAGTGATAAATCATCTCTGCACAAATATATAGATATACTGGTTCCAAAAAAGGGGGTCATACGTTTGAAGCAAAACATTTGAACACAACCAATTTGTATGTCTTCCATTTAAAAGAATAAAAAAAAACATATATCTGTAGTATCTTATTAAATTACACAATCGAAAAAAAAAAAATTTGGTACAAAAAGCATACTAACAAGTTGCTCGATGTTACTATTTAAATCTCTCCATATTTGATTATGTTCTGTGTTAGCTTACTGATTTGTTTTGTGGGCCACATTTAATAAGTGTTTATTTTGAATGTTATTTTTATTCTGAGGACACTATCAATTACCAAGAAAACTGTAGACCCTAAAGATCTGCCGAGTAAATTGGGAAGATAATGGAAGAAGTTCGTTATTGTAAAACAATCCACCTTTTCCAAGCTAAGCATAAATATGTATGTTATATTCTTGTTACTGTTTGTTCACCAGGCCTCTATTTATGAGATTATTAAGCATTTGTCAATCAATTAGTACAAAATCAATTGAAGTATTGTCAATATTACTACTCTATTATAGTAAAAGCTAAATCGCAACATAAAACATCACTTCTACTACACCACCAATGCAATAAATTTAGCAAATAAAAACGTGCATGTTTTGTTCGTTATTTAGCAAGTCTCTAATGTCAACACACTGCCTTCAATACAAAAACAAACAACTAATTATTTGTCTACAAACTAATAATGTTAAGATGTTTGTTTACTTCTTAGCTAAACAACAATCCACACCACACAGGTTCTTAAAACAAAGTTTACATCAACTACTTTTTTTTTTTTTAAGTGCACCAAAAAAAAAAGCGTCAAATAAATATAATTCAATCAAAGGAATTACATTTCTCCTGGACACATCAGAGCATGAGCATTGAGCAATGCATTGAACATGTGAAAACTGGGGACAGTGCTTCAACAAGACTATGTTAAATGTGAACTCAATCTAGTGACCTACAGCAGTAAGAAACAATTCTGTACAAATTTTGATCAAAAAAAGAAAAGGCAAAGTTACAAGCTAACAACTATAAATTCCTACTACAATTTTTAAACTACAGAGCTCCTATGTTGGTCACAGATTAAAAAAAAACAAAGCAATCTTACTTAGTTAAGCTTTGTGTTACAACCAGGATTATTGGAACAGATGTAGATAAAAAAACAGTTCCTATACTGCTGACAACAGAAAAACAACATTCCTTTGAAATGCTTTAGTGAAGTGCACTAAAGCATTTCTAAAGTACAATTTAACAAATAAAAAGCTGCTTCCATTGCTGTTTTTTTAATAACTTTATGAACAAGAGTTTTATTTTCCATTGCTTTAAGTTTATTACATCATAGACCAACCTCCCGTAGGATGGCAGAGGGAAGCGTTCAAATCTGGGACAATCGAAATAACAGTCCAGAGTGCATGAGCAGACAGCCATCCCAGGACTTAGTATGCACCGTATATTTTATCTTTTAAACACCCAAAAGGCCAAAGGTTTACTAAAAAATAAACCAAAAATGTAAAAAAGCAATTAGAAAGCGCCATCAATGTATGTAGAGTGCTAGCAAAGCAGTTAAGCAGTTACTTCTCTCACAACCTAATTCTTGTCAAATATTGAAATCAATGACATTCTTCTAATTAACCCAAAATGAAAAAAAAAAAAAAAAGTTATAAATAAAAAAAACAACATTGTTTTAAAATAACAAAGATGTGTAAAAACTCTGACTTAAAAACAACAACACATTCCTACACAGTTCAATAATAAAAAGTCTCAATTAAAGCAACCCAACAATGAGAAAAAAAAAACACCACTGTGTGTTCATACCATACTGACATTTCCTATACATCTGGTTACTTTACACATAGAAGAACACAACAGAATAACACTGCCAACACGTTCACTTACTGGTATCTTAAATAGGTCATTATGTATATTTATATACAGCTATTGTAGCAAATTAAAAGTGAGAGTGAATGTACGAAACAACTAAAGACAACAACTCAAGACAGGCTCTTTAAACCACACCAGACACTGAGTGATCTACCCTGGGTGTGCTCACTGACACCAAATAAAACAAAAATGAGTTGGTATCTGAATAATACATTGTACAACTAAAATTAACTGAATATAGTTATTGTTTAGACAAGTCTATAAGTTGAAACTTTATAGGTTATTTTGCATAAAAAGTAAAAAAAAAAAAAACAACAAAAAACATAAAAACACTTTGACACTAAGAAAACTGCCTAAAAATTAAGGGCATAATTTAAAAAAAATGTAATGATGATAATAAAAAAATGTGTTCAGCATTTATAAAACTGGCTAATCAGAAAATGTACTTTGAAAATATGTACATAGTAATTCATTATTTAAAAAATATTGTTTAAAAATGCATCACTTAAAAATTGAGTTTGAATAAAAAATCAGGTCTGGGCTATCTTTCAAGACAACATTGACAACAGTAAAGATGAAACTGACCAAGAACTGTCCGCTAGTACAGCTGTTTGTTGATAGCAGCAACACCCTTAGTCTCAGCCACCAGAGCTGCTGACACAATCCATCCAATCCTATTGTTTAAAAGAATTCCTAAAAGGGCTGAAACAAATGAGACAAAAATGCACTTGTGTAATAGGTCATGTTAATAAATATACAATAACAAGACAATGTTGTGACTAGAAATGATCATTGGGGGGGAGGGGGGGGGGGGGGAGCCATAAAAATAAATATAGACTGATCTTCAATTACGAAAAAAAAGTGTGTGTACTCAAGATCTATTTTGTTGATGATTTCCCTGATCTATGGCCACCATCTCATAGCTTTTAAATTGTACGTTTTTATACACACACAAAAATGACATAATAGGAACACTTGTATCTATAATAATATAGAAAATGTTTTTATTAATTATTGCAATTATAATAATTATAGATAAAGGCTATGGCTTTCTTTATACTGCAGTTAATTGCTGTATAATACAACATTATTATATATAAATCATTATATGGGTAGGGCACTTTTAAGTCTTAATTTCCAATGATTTATTACCCTAAGTTTGGGTAAGTGTACAAAATAATACTATTGCTAACTGAAAAACAAAACTTCCAATAAACCAATTCTCCTATCCCATTTTGTTTTTCTTTCCTGGGTAGACAGCTAAAAATTCTATTGAAGGCTAGGAATAAAAACATTCCTCTCTAATGAGTAACTAGCATCTATTGAGATTAATGGAGATGGTCGACATGCTAGTCAGATGTTAACTTAGAAATAGCAGCTTGTCACCCAAAATCACTATCACCCTTGTGAAATACATGGATAACATTAAGAGAAACTGCTACAAGGCAAGCTGATGCCACCTTTCAGCTTCAGTCATCATTATAAAACTATTCCATAAGTCTTCTGCAAAATAGTGTCATTTTATGGAGTTCCTTGGGCACACACTTTGTGTAGTGAGACAGACAAGTGTTTCAAATTAAAATAAAAAAAATTAAGTCTCCTCACATGACATGCTTTGTGATTAGACTGTCTACAAATCTTTTGATTGCTACTTGTTTGGTGCAAGTTATTTCAGCCACCAGGGTGTGAGTATCCAATAGAATAGGATACTTCCTGGCAGAACGTGACCAAGTGAACTCTATCTACTCTTCAACAACAAAGACTGCCACATGAAAACTGATCTCTCTACTTACCATTAATATTAATGTTTGTTCTCAGCTAGCCTGACCCCCTGCAATTGTTGTCTAACACTTTCCAGCTGGGGACACAAGTATATAGATGTGGCTCATGAACAAACACAAACATCAACATTATGACTAGATATATATCAAGTTTGTACATTTTACAACTCAATGTGACATTTAAATAACCAAACATTCAATGAAATTATATTTTTATTCTCTCAAACCAGAGGTCAATGGCAATGCCTACAAAGTCACATTTTTAGAAAGCAACAATAACATGGATATTTGCTTGTATTATTATCTCTGTCAAATAGCTGCACACTGAAATGTATTTAAACTATTTCAATAGTTCAATACTTTTTCATGGCACCTATTCGACAAACAAAGCAGCATAGGTAAAAAAAAATTAAAAATGTCTGAATTAATCATTTACCATTCGGTCCGTCAGACTATGACTTAAGCAAATCTTAGGTTTTAAAAAATAGCTCTTAATAAACTTAAATTTACAAAAAATTTTTTTTATATTTAGAAAACAGAAAAAAAACAAGAGTTCAACCTAAGTTGAGGGATTAGGAAGAAACTTTACTAAAGAAAACTATTATGACCTATGTTTGTGATACCCTGTAAATAAAGACCTGTCCTCATTGAGTTGCCTCCCTAAAAGTTATAACAATGTTATAGTTTCTGCTATTCTCTATTATCTACTTATGAAATATGAGTCCAACAACTTTGGCCTAAGCACAGCTAAATTGCTAAAGTTTTTGTATCAACACTAAACTAACATCATACATATTAAAACATTGTTCCCGTTAGAAATGTGAATGTAAACTTACTCTTGAGTCTCCATTATGATTTGGATGATTGGGCTGGTCCTCATCTAAGAAACAACACAAGTATTATAGTGTTAGTATTTACCATTGTTCATTGTGTCTAGGCATCCTAATGAAAGTGCTACACTATACAAGTCTCAGTAAAAAAAAAAAAAAAAAAAGAAGATAAAAACCCAAACAAAAACCCAAACAAATGTGTCAGTCCTCTGTCCTCCAGGATTCAATGCTATTGAATAAATCTTTGCACATGAAGTATAAACTGATCTTAAGTTTCAGTCCTGCTTGAAGGTTGAGATTTAATTAAAAAAAAAAAAAAAAAAAAAGATTTTTTAAGGTCTATGCCATGTCCAGTTCTAATTGGTATGCAACATCTTTTGGGGAAGTAAAAGTTATTAACTGACCAATGGTATAGGTGAAGTTTACTTTCCTAGCCCAGAAGACCCGTGGCTGGTCTAGAATGATATTAATATAGAATTGGACAATAACTGACCTGCAAAAGCAACAGTCTGCAGTCTATTTGCTTTGTTGGAATCTTTAGACAACTCCTGTGCCTTTGCTATCACAGCCTGTGCCTGGACTGCATCCGCTTCAAGACTTTTCATTCTAATATAAAAACAAATACATTTGTTAGTACAACTACAACTTGGAAAAAAAAAAAGACTTAGTAAAAAAAAGTGTTGATTGCAAGGCTAATGGCAAGAAACTGTAAAGATGACCCGATGCTAGGTAATACATATATAACATGTATACTACTAATCCTGTCAAGTGTATCTTCAGAAACATTTCTAACCTTAAATAGTTGTTTTGTTTTTCTTTAATATTCAATGTAATAAACAAATGTATATAGGGGAAATAAATGTTTTAATTTTAATCTATGACTTTAAAATTATGAAATGTTATGGTGTCCAATGAAGCTAGGTCTGCATAACATTATTTTCAAAAGCTATGATATTATGTTTCTATATAATAAAACCAGCCAAATAGCCCCAGGCCTAAGTTTAAAGGAATATAAATCTATAAATACAGAAGCAGACTACAGGCATAAGATTTTGAGTGAATGTTTTGGTTTTTAATTTTAAAAAACAAACAAATATGGATTTCAGAAGAAAATTTTTCTATCAATAGATTACTAAAAATGAATTAATTTTGAAACTAATACAGCTAAAAACAAATACTTTTAAACAAACAATTGCAGCCTTTTGGGATTCTGTAACAAGAACATTGTCCAATAAGTGTACACATCTAATCAATTTCTACAGACATCATCTATCCCCTGCTAATGTGAACTAGTGTCAAACTTAAACCAATAAAGACAAAACTAACAAGCTACTTACTACTTTAAAAAAAAAAATTCTACCCAAAATACCAAATTAAATAAATTTTCACCTACAAAGTCTAGTCAAAATGCAAAAAAAAACAAATATAGTTTCCACATACTAGCACTAAAAGTGCCTTAATCATTGTATGTCAACATATGTATCTTGAGTATGTATATATATATATATATATATATATATATATTAATAGAAGTGTCTTCAGTAGTTAAGTAGCACTTTAGTTAACACATGCTTATAAAGAACAAGTTTAGAGCAGATTGTAACTAGTTTAGCAATTGAGAGTTAGCCAATTAGTATTTGACTTTAAATAAACTAAATCTTTCTATATCAATTTTAATAATATGATTTTTTTTTTCAACATGACATTGAAAGAAACACAAACAAATCCTACAATTTTATTTCTACACTGGTATAAACAAAATAAATGTAAGGAATTCTTCCAGTATATAAACATTATAACATTTAAATTTAAAAAAAACAACTCATTACAAATGGTCAGACTGAGAACAAGAAAGTTGAAAAAAGTTGTTTCCTAATGAATCTAATATTTCCTGTTTACTTCTATAATTATCTCCATGCATCTAATTGTTTAACTTGGTCATGGTTCCTCAACAAGATGATTGAATAAACTAAAACTTAGAGCTCAACCATTCTAAAGGATGCTGGAAGTGACTGACTTACTCTCAAAGGACCTAGTATAGACATAGAGCAAAACAGTCAAACAACCCTTACAGATACCACAGAATTCTTTTGTATTAGACCCACAAAAAAATAAAAATTAAGTTCTACCTTCATGCCCCATCTTTTATATCTTTTAACAAAAATGAACATTAGGCATGAAATAAAGTTTATTTCTGCTTTTCAAAAGTAAAGTTCACCAATATTCAAAATAAATCCACA